TCCAAGTAGTTGACACCCAACCTGGACCTATTATTATCTTCACCAAGCAGGATGCAGAAGGCATCGATTTCCCACATGACGACACACTAGTAGTATCTATCCAACTAGCCCATGCCATAGTCGACAGAATGATGGTTGATAACGGAAGTGCAGTCAACCTACTTCAACTCTCAGTCATTTAGAAAATTGACCTAAAAAGCACAATCATACACCGAGCAAAGGTACTCACTGGATTTAACGGACGCACCTCAACTATTATTAGCCACATCACACTTGATGTGAGAACATTGCTAGTTGTCTCAAAGCAGATGTTCACGATCATAAGCGACCCATCTCCCTATAATGGGATTCTTAGGAGACCTTGGTTGATCAAGCTGGATGTCATCACTTCCGTCAAGTATCAAACAATATGATTCCACATCCCGGGTTGATGAGTCAGAGAGATCAAGTCTGACCAGGCCACATCCTGATGATGCACTGTGCAAATGTTGAAAGAGTTAAAGAAGAAGACCTTTACCTCCGTAGAAGCTACCAAATAGTAATTACAGCAGGCGAATTAAGAAGATGGTGCCCAAGCATATGAGATAGGATGGAAACCCGAAGAGGATGCCAAAGACATCATTCTTGATCTCCAATAGCCAGAAAAGACGGTTAGAATCGGCTCAAGTCTAAGCCTATTCGATAAGGAAGAACTCACAACTTTCTTTAGAGAAAACCGAGATGTCTTCACATGGTCACCATCCGACATGCCCAGCATCGACCTTGAGGTGGCCTGCCACAAGCTGCACGTCGACCTCGCTGCCAAACCGGTGATCCAAAAGAGAAGACATTTCACACTTGAGTGAGTAGCGATCATCGAGGTGGAAATTGATTAGCTATTGGAGGCCGGATTCATAGAAGAGGTATCACACTCAGCATGGTTTACCAACGTCATGCTAGACATGAAGAAAGACAAAGGAAAATGGAGGGTTTGTGTAGACTACACCGACCTCAACAAAGCATGCCCAAAAGATCCTTATCCTATACCTCGGATCGATATATTAGTATATGCAACTTCTGGGAACCAACTGCTTAGCTTCTTGGATGCATACTGCAGCTACAACCAAATAGCCATATACGAGCCCGACAAGGAGAAAACAGCGTTCGTGATCGAGCGAGGCACCTACTGCTACAAGGTCGTGCCCTTTGGCCTCAAAAACGCCGGAGCCACTTACCAAAGGTTACTAAACATGATGTTTAAAAGAAAATTGGGGTAACTATGAAGGTTTATGTTGACGACATCATGGTAAAAGGCAAGCACCAGTCAGACCACATCCGCAACTTGGCCGAAACTTTCAACATCCTCTGAAAGTACAAGATGAAGCTCAACCTCACCAAATGGACGTCTGGAGTATCTTCAGGTTGATTCCTAGGGTACTCAAAACCTACAAGATGAAGCACATCCCAAGCAAATCCGAGCGATCTTAGAGATAAAGTCTCTAACTACCTTGAAGGAGATCCAAAGCTTGACCGGATGAGTAATAACCCTTAACCGCTTTCTTTCGCAGTCCATCGATTAATGCAAGCCATTTTTCAAGGTTATCAAAAGGGCACAATGAGACAAATGGGATGAAGAGTGCGAAAAACCTTCCAAGACATAAAGAAGTATTTCACATCACTTCCCTTACTATCTAAGCCGGAAACAGCAGAGGATTTATACATCTACCTAGAAGTCTCCGAAGTAGCAGTGAGCTCTGCCCTCATATGAGAAGAGTTGTGGGCCTAACTGCTAGTATTCTACACTTCTAAAGCTCTTTTTGATGTAGAAACAAAATATCCGAAGTTCGAAAAATTAATTTTGGTGCTAGTTGTTGCAGCTCGGAAGCTCAGACCATACTTTCAAGCTTATACAGTCATCGTCATGACTCAATATCCTCTACGATTAATCCTACATGGTCCAGACGCTTCTCAATGAGTGATAAAGTGGGCGTTGGAACTTGGCCAATACAGTTTAGTTTTCCAACCCTACACGGCTATAAAGGCCCAAGCCTTGGTAGACTTCATAGCGAAATTCAAGCCTAGCCTAGGTGATATAACAAAGCAGCCTAGCAACGCCTCAGAAGCAACCGAGCACACCTTAGCCATTATCCTGCTCCATCCAACAGAGATTTCTGGCATTTTCATGTCGACGACGCATCCAATTACAAAGGCTCAGAAGCAGGCGTGGTCCTTGTCACCCCAAACGGTTTAATTCTAGAGCAAGCAATCACTTTAGGATTCAAAGCATCCAACACCGAAGCAAAATACGAGGGCCTACTAGCAGGCCTCTGAAGGGCAAAAGACTTGGCAATGAAGAAGCTCGCAATTCATTCCGATTCCCAGTTAATCACTAGCCAAGCTACTAGGGAGTACACGGCAAAACATCCAAGAATGGCACAATACCTAGAGAAGGTACGCCAGCAGCTTGAGGCATTTTAGACTTACACTCTCACTCAAGTTCTACGAACAGACAATGCCCATACAGATACGCTAGCCGGCCTAGGCTCCATCCTCAACCACTAACTCAAACGCTCTATTCCGGTGGAATATCTAGACAAGCTAAGCATAGAGATGGAGCCGGCAGCCAAAATGTCACTGGTTAATATAACTCCCAATTGGAAAAGTTCTATTATAGACTACCTTGTCAACGGCACACTCCCCCCAGAAAGAATGGATTATAGAAAGCTCCAAATCAAGGTCGTACGCTACTACATGTGGAATGACATTGTCATCCGAAGATCCTACATCAGACCACATCTCCATTGCTTAGCGCCTCTCGATAACTTGAAGGTTTTAAGCTCAATCCATGAAGACGTTCGTGGAAATCACTCTAGAGGACATTCCTTAGCACAGAAGGCTCTTAATGCATGCTACTATTGGCCTACCATGCACCAAGATGCTAAGGAGTTAGCACAAAAGTACGACCGTTGCCAACGCTACAAGCCGGTACCAACACTGCCTGCCAGTGAGCTAAACCCGCAGACGAGTCCTTGGCCGTTCATGCAGTGGGCAATTAACCTGGTAGGACCTATGCCGCCTACTATTGGGGGCAGAAGAATGATGATCGTGGCAACCGGCTACTTCACCGAATAGGTAGATGCAGAGCCCATGACGACTACGACTCAGACGGACATAGAGCGCTTCATATGAAGGAACATCATTTGTCAATTTGGCATCCCTCAGTCCATCATCACCGACAACGGCCCACAATTTGTGGGCAAAGATTTGGCAAAGTTCTTCCAAAACTATGGCATCAAGCAGCACATGTCCACGCCGAGATATCCTCAAGGCAATGGGTAGGCTGAAGCATCCAACAAGATGGTCCTCGACTGCCTCAAGAAATCCATCACTGATGAAAATGGCCAGACGAACTCCCCAGATGTCTATGTGCATATCGCACCTCCAAAAGACAAGCAACTGGTGAGACTCCTTTCTCTTTAGCATATGGTTCGGAAGCAATCATTCCTCCCAACATCATCGTGCCAAGCATCAGCACTTTACTGCCAAGCATTGAGCAGAACAGTAAGAAGATGGCAACAAGCTTAGATCTGGCAGAAGAGAAACATGAGCAGACCATCCTGCATCACAGCCTACCAGCAGCAGCTTTTCTCTAGCTACAACAAAAGGGCCAAGATCGGACAGTTCTAACACAGAGATCTAGTCCTAAGAAAGGCCTTCATCACTGCCCGTAGAGAAGGCTCCAAAAAGATGGATCATATCTGGGAAGGTTCGTACAAGATTAGCAGAGTATGCGGTAAGGGTATTTACACCCTCACTACCATGAACGACAAAAAGATCGAGAAGCAGTGGAACGCCTACAACCTGAGAAAGTACCATGTGTAACCTTCCACTATATCAAGATCTGAAGACTCAAGCAACTCTTCGGGCATCACCTCGCAAGCCAAGGACTATCCAGTTGTTATGTAGTCTTTACAGTTAAGTTATTCATTCGTTTCACTCGTTCTTCAATGAGGAATTCAGAAGTAATTTACAAATTGGCTCAACTACATGTCTACAATAACTTATCTCTCCTGCACTTCAAAAGATGATCACGCCCTTCTTAGGAACTCATCGTGGGAATTGTACCCTTCCCGGAATGACCAACTATGCTCTCCAGTGTAAGAGGGTAAACTAATTTCCCGACACCCGCATGAGTCTACTCTCCAAAGCAGAAGGATAAACTCTACACTCCGAATATCCAGACGTGGATGAACCTGGATGCCTTAGTATAACTAGATGCAGGATGGCTTACGCAAACATTCCTAGAAGTAGCGATAATGGTATTTTTCAAGGCTTAACTTACTAAAGGATTTTGGGTCTTTTGGCCTAATCTATAGGGAATCGGGCCCTAGAGATGGAGAGGGCACATTATGCAGTACACCCTATGGACGGCTACCCTGGAAACCTAAAGTTGCTATCGAGTGCACTAAGGTAGCCTACAGTTTTCGAAAGACTACCTACGGCTTGCCCTTCGAGCAGTAAAGCCACGTTAGACTTATACATCTGCACATTCTTATGAAAGGTTAAACAAGCTAGCGTGCATATACGAAGCCTTATCCACTGTCGACATGCTACGTAGTCAATAAGCTTCACCACTACCAAGCGCGGAACAACCTACTCCAAGTCCTAAAGTGTTGTGACACTTGCTACGCAACCTACGGAATTGGAGAAAGCCAAGGTTAGATAGCTAATGGTTATGCAAACTTGTCTGCTTCTATAAGTAAGATATCCGGTTGCTAACCCTATGGTTAACAACTTTGCAAAAGTTCTACACCAACACCTACGTTGTGTAGGCTACGCGAGCCTATCTACTTATAGAAAAGTAGCATGCCTGCCACTGGTCTATAACGTCTAAAGGTTAGGATATGGACAAAAAGAAGAGAAGATGGAGAAAACGAAGGAAACAAGTTTATTAAATTTTCTAGCAAAATTGATAAACAACTAGCAAAAACGGAAGGAGTTCAAGCAAAATAAAAGCAACAAGGAAGAACAAAAAATCCTAAAGGCTACCTAAAAGACTACTCTTCAGTAGCTTGGACATCCCACAACTACTCGGTTGCCATACCTTCAGTAGTCGTGATGCCTTCAGCAGCGGCACCATCCGGTGCTTCGCCCTCAACAACCTGAGCACCAACCTTTCCGACTACTTCAGTAATACAGGACTCAAAAGTAAAGGCGAGCAAGTCTTCTGGAGAACTAGAGAATGTCTCGAAGTCTTTACTAGAAAACTCAAAGTCAGACTGTCTTCCAAAGAGATGATCTACATAACCTAGGTTGTAGAAATCGGCTTGACTCTGAGTAAATGAAGCCCCGAACCCTTCAACTGCTCATTCTCCTCGAGTAGTCAAGCACGAACCCGATGCAGCTCCTCCACTTCTTTCTTTAAATTTTCGTTAATCTTCAAAGCACCTTGGAGTTCAAACACTTGAAGTTCAAGATCTTGAATTTAAGGTATGTAACACTCGATCTCCTTCTCTGCACTTTCGTACTTTACTTGGATTGCGTCAAGCCTAGTCTTCAAATCCACGATCTCTTAGTGAGTGATCTCAAGCTACAGAGAAGTGGAGGCAGAGATATTAGACCCCTCCCCTTCAAAGCAGCAAGTTCAGATTCCAATCTCTTGACTTTCTCGGTCGAGGAGTAAGCTTCGACTGCCACAGTTCTTGCCACTTCCTTAGCAGCCTTGGTATCCTCTTGATCAAGAAGCATAGACTCAGCTAACAGAATCTCCATTTTCTGCATCATGGCCAGCAGAGCAGTCTTTCTATACTCGGTCGTATGCTTCGCAAGGAACTTAGGCCAACAACTCATTTGACGCCATCAACAAACTTGGCACATACATCCATATCTTCAAGCAGGTTTGGCTCCAAGAGCACACAAATCTCATAAGCTTTCCTATAAACAGACTTGGTGAATTTCTCACGATTGCCTACGCGAACAGTCTCATTCTTCTCAACAGACGAGTCAATCTCAGCAGTAGAGGGAAAAGATTTTGGCGCTACTTTAGTAGGCAAGGGCACCTTGTCACTCTTCATGGTAGCAAGCTTCTCTAAAGGTGAACCAGACTTAGCCCCAGACAGAGGCTTTAGCACAAACTTCGGCACCGAAAACACAGAGGAACTTCTACGTTGGGCAATCATTTCCGCAATCGAGCTAGCAGCCTTCAGAATGGCAAGTGCCACGGGCATAGATCTAGCAACCTCCTCTTTATTGCCCTTAGAGGAGGTCAAGTTAATCACAAGTTTGGGAGTAGTCGGTGAACCCTCACGAGCAACGGAAGGAATCTTCGGTTTCTTCTCAGCAGGCATCTCTTGGGCAGGTGGGGAAGGCTCTTTTTCCCACCTTCATTTGTAGGAGGCTCTACCACAATGATAGGATGAGCCAAAGCCTCAGACTTGATTCGTTTTATCTCCTCTCTCAAAGGCAACCCACATTTTTCCCTACGAAGATGATTAAGCAGCCAACATCTTTCACGGTACTTGGAGGGGATACCCAGAGCAACATGAACTTTCTTTATGTCTAGAAAAGTCTTAAGAGTGGAGCTAAATTTCGAATCTACAAAAGCAGAGGAAGACAATCAGAAAATTAAAAAGCAACTTAGCACTAAAACAAAGCAGCTGCGAAGATTAAGCAGCCTACTTACCGGATATGAAGACCAATGGTACACGTAGCTCGGGGGAAGAATTAGATTCCCATTCTCCACTTATCTTCAATGTCTCATTGGCTCAGTCATGATCTCCCTTACTTGAGTTATCAAAAAGCCTATGGCGAGATCACAGCTGCCCAACTCCATCAATGTGACCTATTCCAAAGAAGTACCAAAATTCATTGACGGTTAAATCTAAGTCAAAGAATTGGCTTAGATTGTGGAATCCCACCATCATATGGATCGCGTTCGGAGAACATTGGGCAGGGGCACATCTCATAGAGCAGAGCACTTCTTGGAAGAAACGTGGCATAGGAAAAGTAAACCCCAACACAACATAGTAAAGGTGGAACTTGATAGCTCTCCGAGCTCAGCCTTGACTCACGGCTGCTACCATCCTTAACACGCTTCACACGCACTCCCGACGAAATGGCATACCAATATGCCTCGAGGAAGTCTCTAAACAAGTAATTGGAGCTAATCTTGAAGTGAGCAACCTTGAAGTAGCCAACCTTACTCAATGACCCGCCTTGACTGTACAACGACGGCACACCATCATCATTCTTGTGGCTTGAGGGGGACATGCTTGAAAAAATTCTACAAAGATATGACTGGAATTCGTTAGAGGGTTGCCAAAAAAAAAAACAAAAAAAAAACAACAAAGGCCCAAGCCGTAGGAGCCCAGCAAACCTGACAGGCCCCATAGCCTGGCGTATCCTCCCTCACACCAGGACCCAAGTTAGATGAAGCCACACACGACACTACATTGCCGTGGCTTCCCTAGGCATTTTTTCACACTTCCTTGACCCCCGTCGAGCCAATTTCAAGCCTCGAGATTCCCAAAAACATTATGAAGACAAGAAAATTAATTTTTCTTACCTAGAAGCAACGAAAGATGATCCTTTGCACGGGCAAGATGTAGAAGATTGCTGGAGGAGAGGGAACAAATATCCTCTAAGCTCTCTCTCTTGTAGGGTAGAATAAATAGTTCTCCAAAGTTGATTTAATAATTCACTTCAGGTGGACTTAAATAGGCTTTGAGAGAAATTTATTTCACTTTCCTAGAAGGATCTAATTTCTTATTAAAGAGGGAATCAACATCAAAATAGGAAACAATCCAAAGTTTCCTAAAGCAAGAAAATCTCTACACCTATTGCCCTTTTTTGTGAGCAGCCCAACAGTTGTGGGGGCATTTGTGGAGCCAAAAAATAATCAAGAGGCGACATGCGGATTTTTGGGACAAAATTACCCTTGAGGAACACCGGAATTCGTACACACGAGTAGTGGGCAAACATCCCACAATCAAGTCAAAAGTGCCCAAAATAGGTATTTATTCAAAACCTATTTCATCCATGTTCTCCACAAGGTAACCCCCAAAACATTCCTTTTAAATTATGTTAATTGGCTAATTAATGGATTTATTACCTAATTAATCTATTAATGGCCAATTAAACTACCAATTACACCAAAAAAACACACAAGAGGCCAGTCAACTTCTCTCCCAAAGGGACTGGCCATGCTTTATATATTCTACCTCATTTTCTCTAAAAAGCTAAGTTTTCACTCTTGCTAAACACTCAAAAATTCTCCAAACACTTTTCTCTCAAAATTATAACTTTGGTATCGGAGGTTCTTCGGCCAAATCCCCCCCCCCCCCAAATTCATCGTGGGCATGTGAGGCTTTTGGCCTTGACCTAAGGTGTTATTTGTTTTGTAGGTGCAATTTTGTCTAAAAACAAGGAAGAAGAAATTTGCATCCACAAAGTTGTCACAAGATGTACGCGCAGCATCAGAATACGTTTTATACATTCCATTATTCCTCATTATCAATCATTTTTAGTTAGAATTTGTCACATTAGGAGCAAGTTTTTAATTAAAATAAGGGAAATTTTATTTAACCCATCTAACCTATTTCTACACCCAACTTACTCTTTACACCCAAATTTAATACCTAATATACCCCCATAAACCCAATTCAATATGTGGATTTATTTTTACACCCATTTGATTTTTAGAAGCTAAATTTGATGTGTTTAGACCTAAGTTCTTTGCATGGTTTTCCACAACACAAAAGCTAATAATTCAATTGTTACCTGCAAGAACTTAAAGATGGTTATTAAGAAGTGTATCGAGGAACTTAAAGATCAACCATGGTCCAGAGAGAAAAAAGCAAATTATCAACCTGCTTTTAACTGGGCATTAGTGATGTGAAAAATAAGTTAACACACAAAATTAAACCCTCTTTTTATCAAATGTAGTAAAGTATGTAAGTAGGGATCGTTCTAGGCCGGGGATTAGGAGGGATTGCTAAACACTTGAAAACTGACTTAAAAACATAAAAACAAAATTTAAAACACTAAACTAGACTCAAAGAATGCAAAACTATACTTTAAAATACTTAAACAAACATAAAACTCAAAACAGCAACCTAATGACTCAAAACTGCCTAAAAACCACTTTCTGGGCAGTTTTGAGAACCTAACAAGAACTTGGACGAAGTTGGATGAAAACTTGAATCAAAACACTTAGGAACACAAATCAAAACACTTTCTAACTAATCTAAGACTTCAAAATAAAGGGGGATTTGTTTTGGACAAAATTTGGAAACAAAACAGAAACTTTAAAACAAAACAGAAACTTTAAAACAAAACAGATTGTAAAACGTTTTTGGATGAAAATGATGGATAAAAGGCTAGTTAGGAGGTTCTTCTCCACACATGACACACTTGCAAACAAAATGATTTTCAGTTGTTCTTTCAATAAATTATGAAACTCAACACCCCAAGTTAATTAGATACGCTTAAATTAACCTTCAAGTTCTCCTTAAGTTAATGAATTGGATGGAAAAGCGCATACAACAATTCAAAGCATTCCTCAAAGGTTCCTTACGTGATGAGCACAATAAAGATACAATCAAGAATCATGAAGCACAATGAGAACTATAAGTGTTGACGAGGCATTCGTTACTATGATGAGCATGAAACTAGTGCCAAGAATTCATTCAACGCGATCGTTTTCAAGCGACCTTCACTACTTGTGATTATAAGATTGTAACTATTAGGTGAAACTCCCTCATAATCTAGCATCATATTCATGCATGAAAACTAAGCGTGCACTCTCAATCAACATACACAATTAAGTTATCAATCAAGTAGATGAACGAATTGAATCCGCAACTTATGAAATAACAATTGAATGTAATCAAATCATATTGCAAGCATGTACATGGTTTCGAATCACCCCCCAACTAAGGGGGTTTAGTTCCTCATTCTTGCAATACAAAGATACATAAAATTAGACATTAAAATCCAAGGAAAGAAAACACCTAAAATGCTCCAACTTGGAAAGCAAGTGCATCAATGGATCTCCCTTCCTCCTTGTTGCGGCATGAAGCCTGTGGACAGATTTTTGGGTGGATTTATGGTGTAGAATGGATGGGGAATGATATGGAGGGGTTTAGGGTGAGTGTGGAAGAGTGTTTGATGGTTGGAAGGTGGTGGAGAACTAGGCAAAGAGGGTGGAAGAAGGTGGAGTGGCTGTTATGTTTTCTAGGCACTAGAATGGTGTTTTTGGGGTGTTTTGCTTCCTAGGGTGTGTATGGACGAATTTCTGTGATAAAATGATGAATATGGGGGATTATTCTTTGGCCAAGGGGTGTAAAAATGTATTTATAGGCCCCAAAAACCTTAGAAAATCAGGTTAGGTTAAGGATGAAATGCATGGCAATTTGTGTGTGTGGTGTGCAATGGTCTAAGGGTGAAAATGAAGTGATGATGCAAAGTGTGAAGGGTAAAATGGAGTGGTCTTGTAGCTAGGGAGCATGAATGATTGTGTACATTGCATAGAGATGGAAAGGGAAGTGAAAATGTGTCAATAAATGGGTCAAAGGTGCAGCAACATGTGGTACACAAGGGATGGGATTCCTAATGTGAATGATGGAGCATCAATTGGTGCATGTAATGGATGTAAATGTTGTCTAAAATCTAATGAGTGAAGGGAACAAGAGGTATCAAGCAATTGAGTGTAATAATTAAATGAATTGAAGCATGAAATTAGAAATTATGTAGGGGACAAGAGTGATCAAGCATGGCATGGAATCCAAAGGGAATTCTATGTGGTTTGCTTGGCAAGGAATGCAAGTTGGGGTGACAGATTTTTGGGCTGTTTTCTTCATCTTTTGGACCATAATTCTTCACATTCTTGGCCTCTTTAGTTCTCAAATTCGTCCATCCACTTTGGCCCATGTATTTGCTACCCATTCCAAGCCCGAAACATGCTCCAAAGGCCTCCAAAATGCATCTTCTTGCTTACTTTGTACTTAGAGTCTGAAAACACACAAAAATAACTTTAAACACTAAAATAACTAAGGAAATACAACGTAAATGCACAAGAACAAGCTAACTAAGTCGCATAAATATGCTCCTATCAAATTCCCCCACACTTAGCTTTTGCTAGTCCTCGACAAACAAAGAAATAAAACAAAACAAAACAAATAAAATACAACCTAAACCTTCCAACATTTGCCTCAGGGATTCCAATGCATATGACATGTTAAAAACCATTATCCCCACAGATTTGAATCATCTTCACACTTAAACACGTACTTAATCATAGTCACTACTTACTTGATCACAATTAATCGATTAAAACAATGTTTTTGATGTAGTAACATGCCTTAGAGAATTTACTCAATTCCTTTCCAAGTATGCACTCAATTTTCACTCAGATTTTCTAACTACACACCCTATACTAGTTATATGTGAGAAGATTGATGTAGATATGAAAACGAACGCTCACATATATGTATCACAAAGAAAGCAATTTCTGGAGTTAATAAGCAAGTTTAGATATGATCTCATGAATGGAATGCTACTACTTAGATGCGAGAACCAGTGACACCATATGCTCATACCAAATTCAAACTCCACATATTGAAACGCATGACACTCAAGATGAAGTTAAGGGTTGTAACAGGGGTTGGGGTGATGGCTAACAAATGAAGGATAAGGATAACAATCGTTCTTAAAGCAATAGCAAGTAAAGTAATGAAATTGAAACTTAGAATTCACTTAGATTGCAGAAATCAGCTTTTAGACACGAAGGGAAAATTCAAGCAATAATTAGGGCCGAATTCTATGTTTTGGACCCTTTCTTCAACAAGCAACACTTTAAAACTCTTTTTCGCATATTTTTCAACTCTTTTTTTTTTTTTTTCATTCTATTTTTCACGAATCTTTCTTTTCTACTCGTGCCTTATGAATGATTTTGGCATACACACACACAAGAATCACTTCCCCCACACTTGTTTTCTGCCATACATTAATCAAAAGGAATTCAATTTGACTCATACTTTACTATGCTTCAAGAACATGGGTATGGATGGTCCTAAACTAGGCTAGGTAAGGATAATGTGGTTTAACAAAGAATGTAGGCTATCAAGGCTCAATGGGGTTAACTTAAACATATAACGATATGGGATA